CACTGGGGGGGACACTAGAGAACCTGGAGAGGGCCTTGGAGCTGAGGAGCACTGGGGTTACTGGGCGCACTTTGGAGCACTGGCGTGTACTGGGTGGATACCTGGAGTACTGGTGCCTTACTGGGGGCGGGCACCGGGGTGTACTGGGAGCACTGGGGTGTACTGGGAGGACTCGGTGACACTGGGTGGATAGCTGGAGTACTGGTGCCTTACTGGGGGCCACTGGGGTATACCGGGAGCACTGGAGGACACTGGGGTGTACTGGGAGCACTGGGGGGACACTAGAGAACTTGGGGAGGGCCTTGGGGATGGGGAGCACTGGGGTTACTGGGTGCACTGGGGAGCACTGGGGGGCATTGGGGTGTACTGGGAGAACTGGGGGGACACCAGAGAACCTGTGGAGGGGTTTGGAGCTGGGGAGAACTGGGGTCTACTGGGGAACACTGGGGAGCACTCGGTGACACTGGGTGGATACCTGGAGTACTGTTGCCTTACTGGGGGGGCACTGGGGTGTACTGGGAGCACTGGGGCAGCTGGGGGCTGGAGGGGAGGAGGTGGTGTTTGGGGCAGGGTTCCTCCTGCCCCGAGCACCCATGGGTGCCCTGTCCCCACCAGGGCTCGGGGGCCACCTACGAGGGACTGGTGCTCATCGTCCAACGGGGTTTGGAGAAGGTCACCTACACCTCCCTCTGCCTCCCCGATGACATCCGCGACCGCGGGGTGGAGGACGTCCCCAACTACTACTACCGGGAGGACGGGCTGAAGCTCTGGGAGGCCATCGAGAGGTGGGTCCAACCTCTGGAGGACAACTTGAGGAAGCGGTGAGGTGGTCCCATGGATCCTCCGGGACCTCCCGGGTCACCTCCTCACCCGGCCCTGTCCCCGTAGCTTCGTCCGTGGCATTGTGGCTTTCTACTACGGGGACGACGCGGAGGTGCGCGGGGACAACGAGCTGCAGGCTTGGGTGAAGGACATCTTCACCAACGGCTTCTTGGGCAGGACCTCTTCAGGTAGGACAGCTCGGCACCCATGGGACGTCCTCCGCGGCTTGGGATGGGGGGTGGTGGGGGACAAAGGACGTGTCTCCGATGGTCTTTGCTGTCCCCTCCGTCCCAGGTGTCCCCTCAACGCTGCAGACGGTGGCGGAGCTCATCAAGTTCCTCACCATGGTGATGTTCACCTGCTCGGTGCAGCACGCGGCCGTCAACAATGGGCAGGTGGGACAGGGGACCTCTGACCCTTCCATAACCCCAAAAGATGTCCCCAACTGGCCCCATCCCACACCGGAGCGATGTCCTCCACCAGTTGGGTTGTCCCCATCCCGCTCCGGGGGAGGTGCCCGTGTCCCACCTCTCTGCATGCCAGAGGGACGTCCCCACCCATCCCATCTCCATACCAGGGGGACATCCCCACTCCAACTCAGGAGAAGGTCCCCATCCAACCTGTCCCCATGCCAGTGGGACGTCCCCACCCATCCCATCTCCATACCAGGGGGACATCCCCACTCCAACTCAGGAGAAGGTCCCCATCCAACGTGTCCCATGCCAGAGGGATGTCCCCATCCATGTCCCTTCATGCCAGAGGGACATCCCCACCCCACCTCAGGAGAAGGTCCCCACCCAACCTGTCCTCATGCCAGAGGGACATCCACCCCAGCTCAGGAGAAGGTCCCCATCCAACGTGTCCCATGCCAGAGGGATGTCCCCATCCATGTCCCTTCATGCCAGAGGGACATCCCCACCCCACCTCAGGAGAACGTCTCCATCCAACCTGTCCCATGCCAGTGGGACGTCCCCACCCATCCCATCTCCATACCAGGGGGACATCCCCACTCCAACTCAGGAGAACGTCTCCATCCAACCTGTCCCCATGCCAGTGGGACGTCCCCACCCATCCCCTCTCCATGTTGGAAGGGTGTCC